AGAGAAGAGGAATAAGCTGAGATTTTAGTGAGAGATAGAAAGTGGTGCAACTTGAGTAATGATAAGTTTCAAAGAAAGTACCAAAGTACAATGGTCAGAAGGATCACCATACCTTCATTAATCACCCTTCTCTATTACTAACACGAAGGCTGAAAGTGAATTAGCATCGTGGTTTTGCGGCACTGAAACTTCAGTGCAAAAGTTGCTCAACACCAGTTTCGAGTAGACAATTAGGCAGACGTCCATAGCAAAAAGACATGAGTTTCTAAGGTGAGAGTACTCCAAAGCATTGGCATCTATTCATGTAGAAATCCTCCATTGCGTATCTACCTACAAGAAGAGGGCATACTCTAATTGGTCGGAATTTAGGCGAATCAGAAGCAAGCAGTCTTGGCTCAATAGTTCTTGCCTCATCACGATGGGTCCACTCGAAAATTGTGAAAAAGATATCCAGGTAACTCAATAACCAAGGTCTCCCCCTCCACTTGAGGCAATCTCAAGCTTTCGTACCTTCTGTCGTAGCAGGCGGAGCAGCAGCTTCAGGATTCACGGATTGATACACTGATTGGACACCGCAGTGTAGCGGCTTTCGCCCAGGCTTCCTGTGTCGGGTGTGTGCTCTGAGCTTTAAGATCTTCTTACCATGTTCCGGCTTTGTGTTAATTGGGCCAACAGTGACAAACCTTGTTCACACAGAGCATAAGTGACTATTAGGTCGGAGGCAGCGATACTCCAGGGGAAATAGGCTAAGTACCACGAGACACGTTTTAAAATCAGCTGTGTTTTTCTGACTGCTGGTCCCGATCCACTGCCTAGTACCGTAAAGAGACGCCGACAAGTAACGTAACAGCTTTATTGCGAACAAGCGAGCGTGCGAGTGCAAAAGCTACTACGGCCTCGCACTCTAACGGCGCTTTTTGACATTGATCCTGGCTGTTTAATAGGCGTTTAGTAAACACCCATCAGCGTCTGTCGTGCTTATGTGGCGTGTCTGAACACTTATCTGCTTTTGCTGAATTGGTCGAATGATTGACTGGCCTGTGTGCTTGCCGGCTTTCATATTGAGATTTTAGTGGGGTACTAGGGCTTCAGTAGGTTCCGGACGTGCTGGGGTTGCTTTCAGGAATCTGACCTTCCTGACAAACCGGCAACCATTTTCGTAGCAGTCTGTTGGATACCGTCAATGGGGGTTACGCCTTTCTTGCGCCCTGAGTTCGCATACTCAAGAAGCCGTTTGACATAGGCCCCTTAGGGTATCTGGAGATTCATATGAGTAATACGGGGGAAGGTTTCGAATCATCCGTAGAACGGCGAATATCTTTTGAGCCGATTGTTTCATGGTGCAATGAGAAGGGCGTTTGTAAAAACCAAATGCCCAAATCCTTTTCGGTATCTATCCTCGTAATATCTGGTCTATTCTCGCCATGAACGACAAAGGCGTTCGCTGATTTTTTTCCCCTAAATTACATGGACGCACTTTTTGTCATTTGCGGGAAGTTGCCAGTCTAACGACCACTGCTTTGCAGCTTCCACATCCATTTAGAGCGCACTCGCATTTGGACCTCAGGATTTCAAGTCATGTGCAAAATGTAGAAATGGACTTGGGTGAACATCTGGAAGGTTGTTGATGTAGACCAGAGATAGGGATGGTCTCAAAACGCATTCTTGAGGAACTTCAATGGATACGGTTGTCGAAGATGACTAAGTCGAACCTACTTTCCGTCAGAATGTTCTGTCCAATAGAAACGCCTTAATCCAGCACAGAATCTCCCCTTGAATCCCGTAAGGCTTGAGTTTGTGGAACAGCGGGATGTTTGGAACTTGATCGAATGCCTTTGAGAAGTCGAAAAACATGGCTTGTGTTATGAGTCCTTTGTCCTTAGCTTGGTTTAAACTGTCCACGCATACGAGCGTATCTTCACGCAAGAACGATTTGGGAGGAATCCGTGTTGCACTGTGTATTTCGAGTTGTTAGTGCCGAGATGAGTTAGGATGGCCCACTTCAGAATGTGTTTCATCACCTGGCACCATACACTAGTGGGGCTAATAGGCCTGTGGTTTCGTTTATTGTAAGTGCGTAGCGGGGTGTTTAAGACACACGGGTCATACAGATTACAGTTATATGACCTGTTTTGTTCGCTTGTGGCTGGGAGGAGATGTCGGTGGGCAAAGAACTATGCAGGCAAATGATAATCCTCGATCGCCCGGGCGGAGGAAGGGGGNCCTTTCTTGCGCCCTGAGTTCGCATACTCAAGAAGCCGTTTGACATAGGCCCCTTAGGGTATCTGGAGATTCATATGAGTAATACGGGGGAAGGTTTCGAATCATCCGTAGAACGGCGAATATCTTTTGAGCCGATTGTTTCATGGTGCAATGAGAAGGGCGTTTGTAAATACCAAATGCCCAAATCCTTTTCGGTATCTATCCTCGTAATATCTGGTCTATTCTCGCCATGAACGACAAAGGCGATGATACTCCTCGATCGCCCGGGCGGAGGAAGGGGGTTTTCTTGAGGTACTCCAGCATGAGCCTCTGACTCAAGTCTAACCCCCAAGACAGTAGTAGGTGTGGGGGGTTTGTTCTGGGACTCCTCTTCTAGCCTCTTGCTCAAATGTCTGAACCGGGAGAAAGTAGTTATTGGGATTTTCTTGTGGGACTCTTCCCAGAGCCAACGACTCAGTAGCCTTATCCACTTGGTTGCAAGGAGCCGGCCTAACTCGAAGACATTGCTTTTCTACTCCTAATGCAGCCGCGCATAACGGTTGCCTTTTGAGCGGCACCAGACTCTTTGTTCTCAAATATATTTTGACCGTACTGAATAATACGCCGGCGATCAGGGTCGATTTCTTGGCGATCGGAGTGTAAGGTTCTTAGAGGAAACGTTTTCTAACTCGTCCTTCCTTGGAGAAGACAGTCTCGCTGCTTCCATGAATGTGGGCCTGCTGATTGCCTGGGAGAGTACCTTACCGCTTTCACACTCCCACGACAAGGGACAGTACGACTCCATCGTAATACGAGTTTTCGCAGTACGGGGACTGACCGTTATTCGTCGAACCGCTCCCTGTTGGTCTTCCTGGCATGGTTGAACCTTCAGGAACTGTGTTCCAGCCAATATAACCCACAGCATCGTTGCATCATCTCTACCTGTGGTTTTTCTGTTCTCAGACAGCCAATTTGGGCGTCCGTAACTCCCGCAAAGTTCACATTGTCACTCATTCTTGCTTGACGAATGAGGCCTGATAAATCTGGATACAAACCATCCTTATGAGCGTCAAAGCTGTAATCCTTTGGGAAATTACCGATAATACATACATGCACCGGTTTCCGTGTCAAGCAAGATTTTGCTTGGTTGCTTTGGATAACCGGACTGTTCACTGGAATTCAATCAAGCAAAGCTCGTTCAGTTCTGGTGTTGATTGCAACCCCCAAGTCACGTTCCGTGACTTACGGCAGTGAAGCATCGGTCGATATGATTATGACGTTCCGCGACCCATCGTTTCTAGATCACTGAACATATGAAGAGTGGAATGTAAAAAAATTGATCTCGTCGTTGGCGTTTCCGTGTGTATGACCGCTCCTGGGTCTTGTATGCGTGTTTCAGAGACAACACATTAATTTTGAGGGCCTAGGAAAGAATATCCTGTTTGCTTCTATGTAAAAAGTATCTTGTTGATTTAGAAAAAGGTGTTTGTTTTATTGTTAATGTGTGGCGGAGCGCATAAGACATATCGGCCGGATAGCTGAAGATGAAATGATCCGGCTGTTTTTTGTATTGTTGGCTAGAGTTTAAAGAGGGATCTTGGTAGAAAAGTACTGTGAGCAAATGAGCCTTTCGGTTGCTCGGGCCGAGGGCGGGAGATTTAGTTGAAACAGCTCACCTTGATACTATAACTCAAACGTCCGACCAACAAGGCATGCAGTGCACGAATCGCAGGTGCCCCGGATCGTGTCCTTCAAGATATGTAACTTGCGGCGTCAAAAGCACATCATGGGATCTCAAGGGTCGTGTGTTCCAGAGTACAGTAAGGACTGTATTGTCATATGATGGAATGACGTATCCTCGGTTGAGGTATCTCCAGGTTTTTGAAGTGTTCCTGACATCGGATAGTGTCGACGAATTCTTAACGAGGTAGTTGGAATTCAGGTGTGGGTGAGCAGCAGGAACTTCATTTGCGGTAAAAATCCAGCACCGTCAACTGTTGTGACCGGACCATGTGCTACGCATACCGAAACATCGTCAACCGAGATGTTCTGAGATTCCGATGAGTTTATGTTGTTGGTGCTGTCGGCTTTCTAGTGTGTGGCCCCCACGATCCACTTTAGGCTATGGACATTGCAAGAGTTGACGGATAATCGAGGTCATTGGCGTTCGTGCTTTCAGTTGCTTTCCAGATTGTCCGATTGGGTGCCTGGAGGTGTAGGCATCTGAGTTTGCTTGAGATAGGCTAGCGCCATACCATTTCCTCATGCACTCGTTTCTGTGCTTGATTTATCTCAGTGCTTGAAGCGCGAGTTTACTAAGAGGAAATTTCGGGATTCGAACCCATCATCAGCATCGCGACTGCTCCTGTTTAAGCTTTGGCTACCTAGAGTTATCCCAGCTCCTGTGCTTACTCTGAGTGGTTTGACAGCTACGTACCGAAATGTACGGCTGGACGATTATTTCTTACCATTAGACCATTACCATTAGTAACATTGGGATGTGTGGTGACCTTGTTCTTATCTCTCAAGCTTCTGAGAACCAAACTGATTTTGTTGGTTAACAATACTACGGCAGCGAAGCATCAGTGCTGAATACTGATGTGCTGTCGATGTTGGTGTTAACTACTCTTAAGTTCACCACCACGCTTCGGTGTAACCCTTTATAGTTAATCCATTCACGCAGTCATCCCAGTTGCCGTGGGTAAATAAAAAAACAAGTCATTCGGCTGTAACACCCTTTCGATGCTTTTCTGCCACCACCCGAAAGAAGCACGAGGGTTGAGATACTGCCAGGTTGACCAAGCCTAGATTGACGAGATACTGAGAATGCGAGCCTCCTAACTTCCGGTCGATAAGTTCGCACCTCAGACACTGAGCTATCTCGAACTTTGGTTGCCTCGCCGTATGTTTATCGCTAGTGAAGTTTGTTCTCTACCCAGCTATACACTTCTCCAAGCAAATATTGCTGATGACCATTACCCCACACTTCGCATGTGTGGTGACGCTCGAATTACCGGTATCTGCGTGCCAGGTGCATTGAAGCTGTCGCCTTCAATGCGTAGACGTCCAGTTTCCCGAACTAACTAATTATGTCATCACCTCAGACGCTGGATACAATTCTCACGCTCCCTCATTTTCCTCTTAAGTTGTTTAGAATGTGTCCGAGTTAGAGTAGACCCCAGGTTTTCAAGGATAAGCAACGTTTTACTTGTCTAAGAACAAGTGTGGATGAGCTGAAATGTACATACAAAGGTTCACGACTAGTTTATACGGTGAGTATAATAACAAGCGTACAAAAATCATGACACCGGTGACCAAAACTGTAGCGGCTGTAATCACCTTATATTTGGTGCATAGTGTATAGTTGACAAACTGAACCTAACTGAACTGACCCATGGGATGATAGAAGCTTAAACACATAATCCCCGACACTCGTACAAGAGATCTTTTAGGTGGCTCAGCTACAATTGGATCCCTCGATAAAATGGTTATGCCGTAACCGCATAAGCGTTCATTATTCTTGTCGCATTCTGGTGTTTCTTTCCCCTCCATCTTGATTGCAGATGTTTTGGGTTTCATTTTAATTAACCATTGTTTTTTAAGACCTGAACCACTACCAGTAGCCTATTAGTTAAAACACTACCCACTTTATATTGTGTGATCTCTACAACGTCGATTGTTTGATTTAATGCACCTTTTGTCAGTCGTTAGGTTGTCCATTTTGCCAGTCGACGACAAAATTACCGAATATTTACGGATATTGTCCTTTCCAGCTTTTGACGTATCTGTTGTGAACCTCAGTGATGTACATATCTATGAGGCAGCAGCTATGAATTTTTCTGTTCCAGTTAAAGGATCTGTGGGACTTGTCAGTATTTCCCCTGATTGCAGTTATGTGGCGTCTGCTTCCCATAATAGGATCACTCTGCGAACCATATCTGCTGTTCAGGTCTCACGAACCTTCACCTGCATCGATGTTGTTAGTCAGTTTTCGTGGTCTCCAGATTCCCTATTCATCTTATGTGTTCTACGGAAACGGGGGACTACTCAAGTACTGTTTAATCTTTCATGGTTAAAACTTGCTTCAGATTTTGTCCATTGAAAACCCTGAGTGGAAATGCAGGGTCGATGAGGGACCTATAGGCTTACTGTCGGCTACTTGGGCTCCGGATAGCCGCCACTTTCTAACCATTAGCGACTTCCACCTCAGAGTCACCGTTTGGTCTTTGTCTGAGGTTTCAATTTCTTATTTGAAATACGTTAAGGTGAGTTTACTGCATTTGTCTTCATATCATGTTCCCTTTTATCACGTGACTTGATAGGGGTTATATTATGATAGTGATTTGGTTGGCTTTGTAGCTATCACAGTTTGGCTACTCCAATATACTTCTGAACGGAAGAGTCTACCGATTGTTGTCCCAAATTAATAGTAATGCCAGTTATAGGTCTCATTCTTGAAGACTAGTGTTCCCGGCAGAACTACCACCACAGATTACTAAGTTTGTCGAGCGAGTGTGTCGAGTTCATAATTTGCGTCTTATTGACGTGTAATCAGCAGAACCATGGTATAAATTTAAGCGATTTCTGCTAGTGCCACCGGCAACTGGCATTCGTCCGGTACTGGATTACAACTAGCTGTTGAACTCCTATACTCAGCCAATTATGCCGTATTGATCACCGGCCCGATCCTTTGAGTAGTTACTTGTGAATTAAGATTACTGGCCTTAAAGCGTGCCACTGTGAGCTGTGCGGCAGTTTGGATGTGTGATTCCGTTTAATAGTCCGCTCTGGAAGTTTATTGGTATAGATTCAAAGTTTGGGTGTGTCCACTTGCAACAGCCTGATTCTTACCTGTCATTTCAGTTCAGTTTTTCAACTATAGACCCTACAGTACATTACCTCTAGCTACTGTAATTTCACCATGGATGGGGCGTCAGAGAATGATAGCCACGCGCTGGCAGGGAGTGAGAGGCAATAGCTTTGATGTAGCATCATCATTTACCAGGTAGCAACCACATCTATCATAGTCACTAGCCATTCTTTTGTCATCCAGGAGCCACCATCCCGGGCGATACTAACTTCCAGCAAGACCTAGTTAATTGGTAAAGGTTTTCGTGCTCCATGACCACGGCTTTTGGCTTGACTGCGTCTGACAGGTGGATGAAGAAAGGTGACTTTCTTGGAGCAGACGATCCCTTTTACACAAGTACATTGCTTGATCTATAGAGTATGACCAGTTGATCTATCAAGGGAGAGTTACCATCCGGTTTACCTCAGCAGTACTGACTCGATGTTCCTACCATGTGCACGGAATGCCTCGAAGGAACCCATGATCAAACAGTCTTAAGATCTTTACGCCCCGGACACATCTCTGATTCATGTGCGATATCGAACCGTATTAGTGTCACTCCATCTTCGACAGTCAACCGGATGTCGTCGGTGACGCAAATGTCAGATAAAGCCGCCCTAGTCCCCCTCCAGTTCGGGAAGTGATTTCACTCTTTACCAGTCTGCCGGGACCTGTGCAGCTGCTAAGATGAGCTAATTTACCTAACACATCGGTCGCTTCCTCTACACACATGAGATTTGGGTTTGATTACACCCATTCTTTCATTAGCACTTTGCAGATGTGAAACTCACCGAACCGTGCGGCAGAATCATTAGGGTTGTTTAAAGCAGTTTGCATTTTCCAAAGGTCTTATTGAGGGATAGGTATATCGTCAGTATACCTAATGTCTGTAGGCAAATATCACGAGAGTATTTCGATCCTCAAGTAAAGGCGCATATAAAGAACCTAGCAGCACTACGAAGTTGGAAATTAGGGTTGACAAAGGACTGCCTTGCCTGACACCAGTGGATGTGGCGAATGCGAGAGTTTTCTGTAGATGCGTATTGATCCACAGGAAGATGCATGTAGATTCTTCATAAGGGAAAAAATTAATAACCGACGTCTATCGTCCCAGACACTGACATAGTGTCTAACGATCAACGGAGCCAACTGCAGCCTTTTGGTCAGAGAAAACTAACATCATTGATCGTTGAAAAAAGTGGCTCAGCTCGGGTACTTGTAGCAATGTGAAAATATAATCAATAAAATTTCGGACTAGGTGAATCCCAGCTTGATTCTCGTGGACCGACCAACTTAAGATAATTATCTTAAGTTGTAATTGGACATCTTATGTCGCTGTTCCATTCTGGTTCCTTCTGGAAGATAAGCTGATGGGAGCCGGATTAACTATTCTTCGGTGATCAAATCTGCATTATCGTCCTTTTCGTATGCTAACATTCACCCTTTTCCGACGAGTTGATCGTTTTAGACGGAATGGAGCGTGACTGTTCCCCGTTATAAGCGTTTTCTCCATTCCCGGACTGTCGCCTTCTACCAGTTCTCTTTGTCAATCCACTCTCCGCCATTCGGTTTCTGAGAGAATTGCTCATGCCCTAACATTCGTTTGTTGCTGTTATGGTATTCCTGGTATTTGTGAGGACGACTAATCGCAATGAGATCTGGTGTTCATTAAGGTGTACAAACGGCATCGTCAGACGGTTTCAGCAACCTTGAGTCCTATTTATTTCACCTTTTTCTAATCAAACTACAAACTGTCGTCGTACCGGTTTAGTTTTGGAAGCTTTCCAACCAACGCGCATGGTATTGTTGAGCCACTAAAACCCTGCAGGTGGAGAACTGAGTGGCCTTGCGTGTATTGTATTCACGCTTTTCACAAGCAGCTTATTTTCACATGTTCCACCTCGTTCGGCGACGTTGTTAGCGATTTCAAGACAACATGGCCAAAAAATAACCGAATACTTTGGTGTCTGGTATCTGGGTGCTGAGTATCGATTCCGAATCAGTCACCAAGATGAGCTTCTTTCGGAATTCGTCGGCCGACATGTGCATTTATGTCACATGCCAGAATCATGATGTCTACTTTTTTATGACTCAAGCAGACGTGACAAATCCCAATGAGACTATCTTCCTCAGCCTTTCAGTACCGCCTGTTGGAACGTTTTTGTGCACAATACTTAAACACCGCTTACACCGTCGACATGTACTGGCCTTACCTGGGCCACCCACTCGAACAATACGATCCAGCTCAGTAAAGTGCACTCAGTCCTGAGGCTAGGTACAACTTCCACGCTATTGGTACCGCGAACCACTTCATCAGGATAACCAAATTTCGAACAGTGTGCAGTAATACGGGTTCCCCCTGAGGTATATAACCTAACTGGGGTCTTGTGTGCGTGTTTCGGAGACGTTGCATACATCTTTCGAAAGATGTCTAGTATCAGTATGTTGGATAACAGTAGCTTTCTACAATCGGCCCGACAGATGCAGATGTCGGGTTCGAACCACGGATCTTCCGGCCAGTAAATTCGCATCCTAACAACTGAGACATCTTGCGGCTACAGGCCATTAGACACAAGAGTAAACATCGGATCTGCTGAGTTTTTGAAGAGCGAACATTCTCAAGTGTCTCCTTGAGCTTTTCTGGACGTTCATTAAACATTAAACAATAGTAAAAGAACGCTGCAAAGAGGTCCATTAATTTCTGTAGTAACTTTCAGCTTTCATGAGATGTGGGGGCAGAGCTTGGACGTCAGACCACAGCTTCTTGCATGTTACATCGGTAGTATACACCGTTACCTGGTAGGGTTAGATTTTGAACTTATCATTCCGAACTTATCAGTCTTCTGGCGCTTCATCATGTACTTTCTATGCTGCGTTGACCTCAGGCTTGTGAAAATAATCTCGGCTTCTCGCCTGGTGGTCGGTATCTCGCTCTCTTGGAACGTCGCCAGTTCAAAGACCATCTCAGTTTACTGGACTGTGAGCGCGACTGGACCCTGGTACGCAACATCCAGTTGGACACGCAGGATGCTGTTGGTCTGTTGTGGTCACCTGATGGCCGTTTCATTGTGATTTGGGATGAATGTTTGCGCTACCGGGTAGCGGTCTACACTATGGATCTTCGTCATATACGGTCGTATAGTGCATATGAAACAGGACAAGATCTGCTGGGTATAAAGTCGGTGTGTTGGTCTCCGACGGGGGAACTGCTGGGTATCGGGAGGTTAGTGGAAAACGGTTGTTTATCATGGTTTGGCGCTATCTGCGTTCATTTCAGTGTCATTCTACTGTAATGCTGTATTTTTCTCCACCTCCAGCTCTATTCTTGGAAAAAAATTTACTGTTCGTTGATCAGTCCACTCTCGACCTTGGCGCTCTTCATTCACCGTCCCTTATCCATGCTTTGCTATTATTCTTCAATCACACCACTATCGTCCAGCTAGGTGCCAGTTACCTGACTTGTTCTTCATCTAAACTGCCGGCCGGTACAATAAACCCAAATACTCATTAAGTGAACTCAAAATATCCAGTTCATATTACAGCTTCCAAATTGATTAGCAGGCATCCCTGGCTGAAACTTCGATTTCTCTTTCGTTCAACGTGTATCGTGTTTCCCAAGTGCGCCTACAAGATCTCAGTTCTTTCATGCACTTAAACGGCCCAGAATGACTTCGGATTTTCCAAAGATTAGTCTTATCTCACTCTGGCGATCCTGACGCAGCGGCTGTTGTCGCCTATTACTTGGGAGTTTCAGACAGCTTCAAGGTTGAAAGTGTTTTATTGGATAAGTTTCCAATATGATCAGTCCAGCCTAATTTGGTGAACGACGCTCGTTCGTTCTGTAAGCATATGTTCCAACAGACTGTGGTTCTAGAGCTGAGAAAGATGAGTTTTATTGAGCCCTTTTGCCACTGCGGAAGGGCGGGCACTTTCGTTCTGTCGGGTGATATAAACGTCCATGTTGGACACTTAGGTCTGGAAGAAGCACAATTGCATGACGGATTCTCAGTCGATGCTCACCCCACAGATGATGGAGAGTGACTTGTGCGAACTACTTCATCACTTCACTTTCTTGCAGGAATACACAAACTACTGCAGGATCTTTTCGTTTCGGTTGTTCAATGGTATTGAGCGGGTGTGGTTAGAAAGCTACGAGAATCCACAGTCACGCCTGTAATGAAGATGCGACTATACAGCCAGACGTAATCTCATACCACATTGATCATCGCATAGTGTCGTCAGCTGAATCGACTTAATTTCTGCATACAGCAGGGTGAGTAAGCGAAAACAGACCACTGCTGCTTTCTCCCTTCTTCCTTTTTCACAAACGTCTTATTCCATCTCCCCCTTTCCATTAATAACACCGTCCGTGTGGGCCCATTAGAACTAACTACCGCGTTCGTCTTACATCGATTTTGGCCGCAATGTCTGCATGTCAGTCGGCGCTGTCAGCCTCAGACGTCTCGAATTCAATCTTCAAGCCTCGACGCCCAGTTTATCTGACTGCTTTTAATGTGCGCACTCTGAAGCAAACTCTACAACATGGTGCTCTTGCCTCCACACTGGACTCGGTTGACATATCTGTGGGCTGTTTATCAGAAGCACGAATTCAAGGTGCAAGGATAGTGGTTGAGCTGACTGTATCATTACCTCTCACTCGACTTTGGTGATCCAGAGACCTATAGGAAACGGACTCGTGCTACTGTGAAGTTGGGATAAAAATAAACAGCCAGATAATCAAGATGGGAGGACAAATGCGGGCGGTTTTTCGGGGGCTATAGGGAGTGAAACTGTAAATGGCTGCTCCCTTGTGTACGCCAACCATCTTATGGATACGACCTGTCTGCTGACTGCGACATGTAACTGTATCTGAGAGTTCCCAACCACTCGTGAAGTGCTAATCTGATCATTAACTCAGTGTAAACCGTCCTCTGTTTCTTACTGATTTAATGATGACTTTCATGGCTCAAAATTGTGTCATCAGCTGACCACCCACCCATTTCTAGGTTGGTTGGAGCTTTGCAAATAACCTTCGATTCAGCGGTCACTCGGCGTTTGAAGGATATGGCCTAAGAAGCTGTCCATTTTCACCCTATCAACTAGGCCCGCATTAGGTCCATTCATCATCACCGACAGCATGACAGCAGTCTTCAACACCGCTGCTTCACGGCCGTCCATTGGCGTCTGCCTACCATCTCATTGCCGATGCGTCCAGTCAGCTTTACCGAGGTAGCGACAGTCAGAAATCGAGGTCTCATATGCATCTTCTTCGGTAGGCCATTTTCCCAACGGTAACCGTCTCTGGTCACTACAAACCCTCCTTTTATCGAAAACCAACCTTGGAACATCAGTTTGTCATCCATTTTGTAGTAACTGTGATCGGATGTTCTCTGAGCAAACGATATTTGGCAGCCAACACAGATAACAGTTGGATCTGAGTCCAGATTGTGGCTCCAAAACTAGCGACAGTCGGTCACTCTGTGCCGACGTTCGTATCTAATTGCGACGTGTTGTCTTTGCGTTCATGGCTGATTCGGACATGGTGTCGTCTTTTGCTTTGCCAGTTAAGTACAGACTGTAAATGAGCATTCTGTCACAAGAACTTGGCGCACATTGGGTCCAATCTAGCCGGGAGTATAATGCCGGGATTCCATGTTCGGCATAGAAGGCCCGACAAAGCATCATAGAAAGCACTGATGCTGAAATCGGAAGTAGCTTCTGTGGTTCTAACCCAACCTCTGCTTCTTGACTTCCCCTGTCTAGGTTTGGGTGACCTGGCAGTATCCCAGCTCTCGTGCTTCCTTCTGGTGGCATGGCAGCTAGACACCGAAAAGGATGCTACAGCTGAACGACCCAGCTTCCGTACAAGGAGCGATGCATGTCTGTTGAGTCGGTGTTGAGACACTTCACTCTTTGTAAGTAAGCTGACACCACACTGCCGGCTGTTAACATGAATCTAATCAGTTATGTTTTATCTACTTCAGAAGTGAAGACCAATCCAACTCCAGCTTGCTGTTTGTATTCGGGCATTAGTATCACCATTGAATCTCAGCTGGTAATGCTGATCAGACATTGCATTCGAATTTACAAGGTACAACGCACCCCAAGCTTCGAACTTCTGAATGCGTAGCTTGCTGGTCGATTTATTTAAGGTTAAGGATATCATGAAGTTGAAGACTCTGGGGTGTTCAGGTCCTAAAAAAGAAATGCTGGGAGAGATGCATGTGGAAATTGAGTAGTGTGTGGTAGGCTGGAAAATTCTTCCGTGGTTGTCCGAACCCCGATAAATTTTTATACTTCTCAGTTGTGTGGTAAAAGTAGCCCTCCCCCCCCCCACACACCGTGTTTCCCACTCAAAATCCTGGCCCGCGAAGCAGCTAGTGTCAAAGTCCTCCCGAGGAGCCCCACCCTGTGCCAATGACTAAAACGTCTGACTCACTTGGCTGTGGCGTCTTGTCTAATCCGAGGATGCTGAGATGGAGATTTCGGTATATCATTCTACTTCGTGCAGAACGTGTCATTCCGGTAGCACCGAACTGCTGGCTCCAACAATATTTCGGCTCTACTGAACAGCGCACCTAAAGTCACCATCAGCGTTCCAATGATCGGATTGTTCAATCTTTTGGGCCTATCGTTTCTAATCGGTCCTTTTCAGAGGGTGAGACGGCTCAGTAGTCGGAGAACCAATTTACTGACCGGAAGATCCTCTACATCTCGACTTCTCCTGTCTAGGCTTGACAGTATCCCAGCCTTCGCGCTTCCTTCGGGTGTCACGGCATCTAGGTACCGAAAGAGTGCTACAGCTGAACTAACCGGTCCTTTTTGGAGGAAATTGCTTCTTTTCTGGAGGTCATGTCTCACTTTCTTCCCACGGAAAAAAGTGCGACTTCGCCTCCGGATTACCTCGTAGTTGCTATCTAGCTGATTCCCTTTTACTTTCTTGGAATTGTTGTACCTTGGAGAAACAAATTTCCTATGGTGTAGCCCGCAGACCCCTGCAACCCACCCCCGACCATCGCGTCATGTTTTCAGTTGTTGGTCGTGAGGTCACAGATCGCCGTTGCAGTGTCTGGTAACACAGCAGCGACTGTGTATTACTCAACTCAAAGAGAGACATAGGTTAAGCTTTCTTCCGCGACCAGTGCCCGGGAAGAGCCTATGACTAGTCCCTCCTAAGTCAACGTTGGTGAAATTTAACGCACGACCAGTGTTAAGCGTTCAGGCTGTTTATTCTCGTCGAAGGCTTATCTACTGTGGTCATTTCCCGTCGGTTTAATGTGATGTTTCGGCAAACCATTTGAGCGTCAGCTTAACTGCTAGGAAGAGGCAGTTGCAGTAGTGCCATAACGTTATGCTGTTTAACCGCAAAACTGTAGGCGCGTTCTGATTAACTGCAGGCGCTGATGGGCGTAAAGGGAACTATTCCGTCCCTGAATGTCAGTTGAACCTGCGCGATGTCGCTCAATTACAATTTGTTCGGTGAAGTTTCGGTACAGAAAAACCCTAACTGGTTATGCCGATCATGGCCCAATAACTCCACTTTCAGATCGGTTCTTATATTGGTTTTCTCCTTATGGTAGCTACAGTTTTTTGTTATTCTTCTAACCCAAGTTGGAGGTGAGGTAGTGAATGATAAAGCAACAGAGTGATTCCAATTCCAACGAAAGTGGTGTCTAGTACACATTCCATGTAATGAAATTGCACGAAAGAACTCAGTATGTTGGCCCAATCAGCATCTTACATCCATTACTCACTGTGGGGGCGCGGGAAACTAACATAACTGGTTTCTTCAAAATTCAGCTGAATGATCAACGGGCCATTCGGTTGTCACAAAGTCGAGTGTTTGTTTACACTCCAGAATGAAAAATGTTGACCAATTCACGGGCGGTCCTTATTGGTAAAACCACTCCAATCCGTTTTCTCGCATCCTGATGGTTCACTGCTATCGTCAGTCGCAAATAAAGCTTGTATATGGATTTCTTCACTTCCGAATGCCTAAACTCGCCATACCAGGTCTCCTTGTCCGTCTCAGCTAGTTTGTTTCCACTGGTGTATTAAACTGAATACTTAAACAGGGAGTGCGGTGTACTGCGCTGTCCAGTGGGATGACTGAATTTGCAAGGCCTGAAAAACGGGAGTAGCGTACGGCGTCATGCGACATGACCCTTTGGTGAAAAAGTGCAATTTGTCAATGTGAATTCGACGTCACAGGGTAAGTACACCTAACTTATTGGATGATCCAACCCCACTCCAAATATAGCATATGCATTCTTTGGCGAATGATGCATGCGGATAAGCCGTGGTAGGTTTCACAACAAGGCTAACGGCACAACACAACTTTGCTCCTTTCGGATACTCTAACACTCTGCTCAATTATCTGCGTTAACCAATGAAAAGCACGCTACGTGTGATTTGGTTATCTTGTGAGTTCCGCATGTTACACGTGGGGCGGCACTGCTCCTTTTTAAAGCTTTTTCAATTCCTCCTGTACGTCTTGCATGGTTTGTCGTTTAGCTTCATCTGCTTGGTCGCATAAAATAAGGCAGTCTTACTTATCTAGTAACTTGTTGAATTTCTGAAATCATGACACCTTTCCACCCTCATTTGTGCAATTCGAAGCTATGATCAGAAGTGTCGCATACTGATCAATTTCAATTGGACTTGCTTGGCCACTCTGACGCACCCAGTGGACAAAGCTATCAACCCTACTCTTGGACTTAGCCCCACCGGTGGTATTATCAATGTGGACGGGGACGCATGTGTTGATAATACTGAGGTTGATGGTCCTAGCTACCGTCCTCACCGAGTTGACGCGTACGAAGAACAGCGCAAAGAAGACTCTGTCGGAATGAACATATCTTTGGATGGTATACGAAAGACAGAGCGAACTGGTGTCCTCTACTGTCTGTTACACGAACCCTTTGTCATCCAATCTGTTCGACCAGACCCGAAGATCCCTTTTCCTAAGGTTCGTCTTTGTGTGGACCCCCTTTTTTGTCGTTCATGCAAACCATGCTAATCCTAAAGGCTGAGTTTCTTTTACACTGACCCCACATCACCGGGCAGAGACAGGTCAGTTGAATCCCTCGTCACTGTGAAACATTGCACTTATTTCTTACGTTGAACAGTCATGCTCATCTTTCTTGATTTTATCCTGTATCGAATAAGTCCGGATCTCTGTCTGAATACCATAGACCATACTGGCGAGTAGAAACTTAACGGTAAATTATTAAGCGCTTACATGTAATTCCTGGACACGTTAAGAAATAGCTTGTAACAACTCCCGGACTTTTTACGGTAGATCTCAGGGTGTATTCTCCTGGTGGAAGCCTGCGTCTTCACGGTCTGCTTGACATGGGCGAAATAGGCTCGTTTGCAAACTAAGTTGGTGTTCACGGGAGACAACCGAATTCCAGCGAACTTCGTGTGTGATATTTTCGACCAAATGTGCTGCGCCAAGGCCATCTCGTGTTTTATATGGTACAATGTTTGAAAGGTCATGGATAGTACTCATTATCATTGTAATCGTTCAACACACCGACTATGTTTATCCCATTCTTG